TTATTTTCAGATTTACAGCATTTCAAATTTAGGACTTTTGATTTTATACTGTTGGTCGGACCAAACTAGAAATTTAAAGAGGCCACCTTCACAACTGGGAACTTCCAATTGATCTAATTTTAGAAATGTGTTGGATATTTATTTCAAAATTCAATTAGAATTCTTAAATGTAAAGATTTGGCCTCCTTTTCTATTTTATTCATTCATACATTTGGATGGATGATGGATTGTTGGCTAAACAAAACAAGACATCAGGACATGTGAAATTACATTCTGGGAAATGGTAAAGGACAATTTTCTAGACCAAACAACAATTAAATTAATGAAAAAAATCATCAATATTGAATTATTAATAATGAAAATGAATTAGGCTTCAACTAATGATCATTTTCATGAACTATTAATCTGCCAATTATTTTCTCAATTAATCAATTGATTGTTTGGCCTGTAAAATGCTAGCCTGAAACTACAGTCGATGTCTTCAAATGTCTTGTTTTGTTCGACCCAAAGACATTCAAGTTACTACAGCAAAACTGTTAGTTTAACATGACTTCAATGATAAATCAATCAAAATAGTTGCTGATTATTTCTCTGTTGATTGATTGATCAATGAATCCACTAATTGTTTCAACTCTCATATAAACTGTTATGGTCAGAAGTCATTAATTAAGCAAACTATAATTAAACACTAATAAAATGAGGTTTTTGACATTTGAGATGTTCCCAACAGTAAATGTTTGGTATTTTTGCTTGCAATATTACTTAAACAATTAAGCGATAATAATACACATATCTGGTTGCATCAACTTAAGAGATACATTTTATTGACAAATTGATTACTGACTAATCATTTTAGCACCAGACTTTTATATGAATGTACATAAATCTGCCATATTGTCATACAGATTGATATCTCAGAATTGTAATATTGTTTGAACTATGTCCAGCCCTAATACCTACACAAGACTGTGTGTGTTAAGTGCAATTGTTTTTATGGCCTTTTTTGTGGGGAATGTCATGACTGACACATGACTCCTTCTCGAGCATACCAATAATATTCACATATAGACTGTGGTGTTTGAGGAGTTTGAGATCTGAAGAAATCCCTCTGTATGACTGAGCACATCTGCTGACCGACGGTGCAGAATTCATTCAATACACCGGTGTAGTCAATGTGTCCATTAAATGAAGAAAACTTAATTAAGAATCAAAAAAATATGAAGAATAAAAGATAGAAGAAAGACATTTCTTTTGTCAAGGACAGTCCTACAGTGACTGTATAGGACTGCTTGCCTACCACACTAACTCACACGAATAAACGCCTGTCTCTGATCTCTCACCAGTGAGAACATCGACTTGAACCGAGTGCCTCAGGTCATCCACGAGGCCAGCTGCCACACAAGCCATTCCTGCAGGGGACTCGACTCTACTTTGGGACTAGAGACCATCCCTGTCTCCCTGAGGGTGCCTGTCCTCAAGAAAAACCCCAACTGCTTCCTCACGGCCAGCTACTCTCTGGAGTTTGAGCTCATCACTGTAGCTTGTATATGTGCTATCTCCAGACAAAACTGAACAGGACTGACTTAGGATGTTGGTGAAAATCAAGAATATGTATTTGTTCAGTGAGGTAAAGATGGTGGTTTCTGAAAAATAGTCACTCATTGTTATTGTTTTCCAGTAGATATTTCAAATGTCACCATTCAATACATGTCTCTCAACAGTATAGCATAGTAATTAAAGACATTTTACATTAACTGGTATCATTATTGTGCCCGTATGAAGTATTTGGTAGTCTGGCTGTCACACCCTTTTCCCAAATTACTTAGGATCCAGTCTGTTGAGTCTTTTCCTCATCAACAGAGAAGTAGTGAAGCATTGCCCCTAATGCAGTTGTTCTCAGCCTTTTAGGTGTGAGGGGCCGACAACTTGTTGGACTGTTTCACATGTTGTATTTGATAATTTTTAGTTCCAGGGATCCCAGTACGATAAAATTGATAAAATACTGTACATTGCTAGATTAACGGTGGAGAACACAACAGTATTCCTTGTACATTCTCTCACTTAAATAACACTAAAATTCAATTGTTATTATTATATTAAATTGCCAGATTTTTCAATGGAGTTTGGTGTACGTTCACACACAGGGAAGAAAGCAACACACCAGGGTCAGCGTTAATCGTCCCACATAGTTATCACTCAAACAGCTCTCCGCTTGGACCTTTTCACAACTTCACTGTACAATACCAAAGTACTGTAACGTTACTAATAAAGGCACTGTACAATACCAAAGTACGTAGACGTTACTTCAATAAAGGCCACTGTACAATACCAAAAGTACTGTAACGTTACTAATAAAGGCACTGTACGCTAACACAGTGGCGTGCTAACGTTACTCTCCCCTGTTGCTACTAGCCCGGGGTTGTCCTTTCGTGTTAAAGTCTCACTTTAACCATATTACGAAGCTATAAATTCGTACGCACCTTTAGAGAGGATTTTGGCAATCGACTGAGCCAAGGATGGTTTCTCTGCCACCATCAAAACAGTTCTCATTTTGAATGAAGTGCTAACAGCTCCTCTATCAACCTGCAGTCAGCCGGCTCACAGGCAGTACACTGACTGACCGTCTCACACCCGAGCTATACGCGCTAGCATTAACAGCTCCTCTATAAAGAGCTTCGTTAATTTTACATACAACTGCTTGCTAATAGGCTATGTTATCAAGCACGAGAGCGGACATGACAGTTTACACAGTGTTCACTTCCGGTGTCATATCGGCGAGTAAAAACCTATGACGTATTTCCGGTGTCTACCAAGGAGGCAAAATTGCCACTACAGTCAGTATGGTGATTATTATATGTGTTTAGTTATGGAAGGCCACTTGAAATTGTTATATACATAATTTGAAACATGAATATATGAAATGAAATTTGGTTTGAACATACAGCTACAGTACAGTAACATTCGGCAGGATGTTAATGATCTCTTCATCATGCAGGCTCACTCAGTCCCACACTTCTTGCACTAACATCCTTATGGAATAATAATAGGCCGGTATCGAAAACACAAGATGGCGCAGTGTCTTGATCACTTGACATTTCATTCCATATATTCATTCCATAATGTCCTAAAGGGCATGCCATACTACTTCTATTTATATTATTATTATTATTATATATACATATGTATACATATACATATCTGTCTCACAAAAAATCCCCTTCACCATGTAGGCTGATGG